GGGCCCGGCCCAGCCCCGAGCACCTGGCGGGTGCATGCAAATGCCCCTGCGGGCGCCATGGCGCCCGCGGGCACCGTGTTGGGGACCACGGTTCTAGAGTCTCTAGGAATTAAAGAATAACCTTTAGTTAAATAGAGTATCACGTGATGAAACCTCCAGGAATTCATCCAACCCTAGTTAGCAACCCTATGAGACATTCCAGTCAAAGTACAGGATAAAAGGCACCTAGGGATCTAACAGAAAGGATTTACCGAAGAGAGACTTGAGTAAAGACGGTGTTGTAAATTTTAGGCCTGATTGCTGCAGTAGCATGTCTACGTGGTGCAGTAACATGGCATGTCCCCTCAGTGGACCCTGATGTGTCTGATTTGAACCAGATAGACTTTTGCATCTGGGTGACTAGTGGTCTCTGAAACATGCTGTCTGGGTTACTGTCCAGAGATGTTTAGCGCTCTTGGAAAGGTCTTGCAGATTCTCTGATTCAAATAATAACTCTGGATCCACTTGTGACAAGGAGCCTGCCTGGAGTAGCTTTTTACTCCGAGTTGTTAGTGTCTTCAAGACCAGTGGCTGCGCATAGCTGCTCTTGAGACGAATGTCATCTTGTATGCAGTATTTGTTTATTTTTATTTATTTAAATATTTTTACCCCACCTTTCTATTTAAAATATTCAAGGTGGCTATACAGTAGGACCATACAGAGGCCTTGTACCTAAAAGGTGGTTCTTGGGTACCTAGACTACCAAGGTTGACATGAACAAGTGGAGCAGAGCAGGATCTTGCTTCCTGTGTCAGAGGGCCTTCAAATGTGGTATTAGGCAGTGTCCCACAAGAAACTTCTTGGGGGGCACTTACCTGGCAGGAAAGAACAATTGTGGTCAGGCTAAGATGGTTGAGACCCACATGAGAGGCCTCTGGATCAGTGCGTGGAAGAGCAGATCTTTAAGTGGAACATGCCAGCAGATCTGTTTGCCAATTTCTCTGCAAATGAAATTATTGGTGTTATACACAAGACACTGGGAACACACCAGATGCATCAGGAATCTTTTCTCCATCCCTACTGGAGTTACTTTGGAACAGACTTTTAATAGAGGAGCTTACTAGCAATTGCGTGGTCTCTTTTCTGTTCAATTTCAGGTTTTCATTAGAATAGGCACTAATTCTTTAATGCAACATGCTCCCCAGAATGAATGTATTTCATTGGAAATCAGACTTTGTTTCAAACGAGCACTTTCATGTTTAAAAACCTTAAGTGTTTTTAGCGACACCTCTCAAAAGTTAAATTCAGGCTAGCCCAGATGTGGAAATTGGATGTTATAGTTCCCAAGAAACCTGTGTTTGAATGAATATGCATAGCTCCTGTTCCTGAGTTCCTCGGACATTCTGTCCTGGAGATACGTGATTTTTAAGGATGATGTGCGGAAACCGCATCACATGTTGCTCCACCAACAAAGCCCTAGCCAATGTGGAGAGTTGGTAAGAACATCTTCAGAGGCGACTACACTTCTTCATGAGCATATTGTTTACCTGCACTGAATGAAAGACTAGTTACCTAGGTGGCTATGATAGCAAACTAGAGCAATTTAGTGCATGTATTTATGGTCAGGCTATACTGAACAAGAATAGCTGGATGTGTGCTTTGCTAGCACACTGTACCCCACATGCCTGGATTACCAAGCCATTGAAAGAAATACCTACTTTCTATATTTTGTAGTAAGGTAGCCACAATATGCGCTCCCTAGAAATCCTCCTATACCATAAACAGACACAATGAGGGTCCACAGCAACATGACAGTCTCTTGACGGAGGGGAGAGCCATATCGCTGTATCCAGGTTTCATTGATAAACCTCCTAATGTGCTGCGAGAGAAAAATGAGATTTTATTTAATCGTAAACATGGATTTTCTTCATACAGTTCTTTTACTGTACCTCAGCTCCGCTCTAAGGTGGCATGCAGCTTTGAACCCCTTTTAAAAATAACCTTTACTGTCAAAACAAACTGGCCAATTTATTTGTGTACTTTGCCGAAAGCTGAGCTACACTTTTTGTAAGTTTAGATATTCAGTGCACCTTGAGTTTATTTTCTTTATAAGCTAGTCACGGAGGTTTTGTTTTGTTTTTTTCTAATGAAGCCATCTCTTGGGAAACTCTGATGCAATAGACTGGCTTAGAATGGTTTATCATGCCTCCTCCTAATTGGCTAGACCCAGCAACCAGAACAGTCTGTTACAACGGAAGGAGCTTTCCCGGACTTCAAGCATCAGTACAAGTATTAGAGCTATATGCTTTTTGTAATGACGATTCAGGGTTTTGTCTCCAATCTCTTTGTATATTTGCTAAATTGGACTTGAATTTTTGTAGACCTTGAGCTGAGGGTGAGCTAGCTGTTTTACCAAACCCAAACCCAAACATTGAAAAGTAGTGAGTCAGCTCCCTCCCTCCATCATAAGATTGGTCTAAAACCCATGAGATTTTGAATATAATTTGGGAGTCTTTTTATTTTTGCTTTGGTTTTGAGCCATTGGGGCATGAAGGCTAGACACTTTTAAAATGGAAGCTGAACATTTTCTATAGTCACTTGATTTTTGGAGCTATGATTTTGAGAGAGACCAAATCTCATGAGGCTTGTGATAAAATGGAGTAGTTGGTGGAGTTGATGGACCTTAACCTTAGCAAAGCTTTTGATATGGTTTCCCACAGAATTCTTGCCAGCAAGTTAAGGGAGTCTGGATTGGATAAATGGACTGTAAGATGGATAGAAAGCTGGCTAGATTGTCGGGCCCAATGGGTAGTGATCAACGGCTCGATGTCTGGTTGGTGGTCGGTACCAAGTAGAGTGCCACAGGATTGGTTCTAGGGCCTATTTTGTTCAACCTCTTTATGAATGACCTGGACAAGGGGATGCATTGCACCCTCAGCAAGGTTGCAGATGACATCAAGCTATGGGGAGAGGTAGACATGCTGGAGGGTAGAGATAGGGTCCAGAGTGACCTAAACAAATTGGAAGATTGGGCCACAAGAAATCTGATGAGGTTCAACAAGGAGAAGTGCAGAGTCCTGCACTTGGGATGGAAGAATCCCAAACATTGTTACAGGCTGGGGACCGACTGGCTAAGTAGCAGTTCTGCAGAAAAGGACCTGAGGATTAAAATGGATGAGAAGCTGGATATGAGTCAACAGTGTGCCCTTGAAGCCAAAAAGGCTAATGGCATATTAGGGTGCATTAGTAAAAGCCTTGCAAGCAGATCTAGAGAAGTGATTATTCCCCTTTATTCAGCTCTGGGAAGGCCACATCTGAAGTATCATGTCCAGTTCCTGGCCTGGCCCCCCACTACAAAAAGGATGTGGATGCATTGGAGAGGGTCCAGCGGAGGGCGACCAAAATGATTCGGGGGCTGGAGCACATGACCTACGAGGAGAGACTGAGGGATCTGGGTTTGTTTAGTCTGCAGAAGAGAAGAGTGAGGGGGGATTCGATTAAACTTACAGATAAAGGAAGGAATGACAATAGAAATGTTCCACCAAGAGATACTCTTTTTCCTCCAATGCATGAGGTTTTCTAACATGTTTGGCCTCAGACTAAACTGGCCTCATTTAAAGCAGGTTTTTTTCTTTAAATGCAATTAACACAGAAAACTTGGCTGATTCTCTTAAAAAAATCTTTTTACACTTTTAAAAAGGCACGATATAATTTTGTTTTGAAACTCCCCCCCAAACATTTACACATTTAAAAGAGTTTTCTTCTCCTCACACTACAGTGCAAATTTCTGTGAGTGACTGAAAACTATATTGTTTGCCCAGCGCCCTGTGCAGTTGGAAGACATACTACTTAAAATGTCACTTCTAATGGCTCAGTAGAAATCGGATCTCTAAAACAAGCTGTTAACTTCTCTACACAAGAAGCTAGCACCACTGCTTTCTGACAGGAATCCTGATCACACTACTCTGGAAACAACAAGCAGCCTGTTGCAGCAGGCTGTTTGTTGTGAAATGTGAGGTTGTTCACATTGGGTGAAGGTAGCTGGGGGAGGCAAACCCCCCACCCTGCCCCGAGCCCCGCCCCTTCTGCCTAGGCCCCGCCCCCAGGAGCCTCCAGCCCCACTGGCGACACCACAGGGAGGCGGGGCAGCACATGGCCTGAGCCTCCCTGGGCC